TTGTTGTTGTTGTTGTTGTTGTTGTTGTTGTTGTTGTTGTTGTTGTTTTGAGAGGCTGGAGAGGCTTGAACAGGCCTTTTTAGGGTCATGTGAGTCATTTTGGGGGGTCATGTGAGTCATATGTACCCTTCTTTGGGGTTGATTAAAGTTTATTACGGTCTCTCGTCTTCCGCAAGAACTGAGAGAACTGTGTGAGCAGATACCCTCGGCAAGTCCTGTGGATAGACCTGGATAGAGGATCCCCTGTTTATCCACGATCAGTGGGGTGGCTGTATGCACAAAAAATGACGGGACGATGAGTGGAAAGTTGAGCATTCCGGCAACCAGTATGGTGAAGAGATGTGAAGAGTATGATCTGATATTAAGGTGAGGATTGCTCTTGGAACTGGCTGCAGCGAGTTGGTTCAAGAACATTTGCTTTCTGCTTGATCTGACTCTATTGCTATGGAGAGGGCTTGGAAGCTGCCAGTGATCCATGAACTCAGGACAGCTGCAAGTTCCATCGGAGATTTTGTGGGAGGAAAGCCTGAATCTGCCAAGAAGAAGTGGGAGGACTACGGCAACGGGTCTGTTCTTGGTTCACCCTTCAAAGCTGCCTTCTTCGCAGTCAAAGGTGAATTGGAAGAGGCTGAGAGGTTGGGCCGCGAAAGTGGCCGGACTCTTGGTGGGGCCCCAAAATCCCAGGGCTGCACGAGATAGGCATGTGCGGCAAGTCCTTAAGGCTGGTTGCAGAAGACAACCCCCAAGCAGCCAACGAGGTCTGGACCTCAGACTATGTTGCGGATAGTGTCCTGGGATCATTAGTGATGGCCGCTGTTGAGGCGGTTAAAGGTCAGAATAATGATGCCATGGAGAACCTACGTCGCAGCATGCGTGCCTGGGAGAAGGCGGAATTGGCTGTTGACAATGCCTTGGACGCACTGGAGCGCTTGGCAACGCTTTGCGATTCCTTGAATCTGTTCCCACCCTTGGTCTTGGGCTCGCTGCTCACAGTGGGACTGGTGAGGCAGCTGAAGCAGCTTCCGAGATTCAACTCAGAGGCTCCTTCTCCAGAGATCCCAGAGATTCCAAGGGCTGCAGCTCGTCGTCGATCCGTCAGCGTGTAGCAAGACCAGATTTGAGAGGGCTTTTTGCAGGGCTCGAGTTCAGCACCCCTTGCTATATAGGCTATATAGTCGCAACTTACTGGCTGAGTGCCGCGGAAAAATGAGTGAGTCAACGTTGCCACAGGTTTTTTTGGTACTTTGGTGATTGGGCTTTGGGGTGACCAGGCTTAACAATTTTAGTATATATCATATGCATATAAACAAACCAAGAACTGGAGAACCATGACGCGCCATCCTTGACAAAATATGTACTCCAATATACTCCATCTCCAAGCAAAAAGTCTCCAGCAACTGGTATTCATAGATCATAGTATATCATAATATATAGATCTATTTCATCAACGGTCACCAACTCGCCCTGGTTGCTTCCCAATTGAACGCCTCCAACGCTTCCCACACGCCGAACCCTTAAGCCCGACCCCCGACACCGACCGGCGGAAAAACTCGCTGAGGTGTCTCGGTGATCGGAACCATCGCCAGTGAGGTGGGTCCGGACGACCTTGCAGCCACCCGGCAGCACCGGCTCCAGCGTGCCGCCGTGGTTCGGCGGCGCCGGCGGGTGGAAAGCTGGTGAATGTTGAAGCTGGTGAAGCTGGTGGCTGAGCTATTGATTGGAGGAACTCCTTGGACCAGGCCCTCCGGAATTCGAATGAATACGGCATAGGTGTGTTGTGTGTTTTTGGCGGGGGTGGTTTTGCCCCCCCCACACTCATCCCACTGATCTCACTCTTCCTACTCATCTCAACCTAAGCAAGTTGCAAGTTGCATCAAGTTGCTCCAGTTTTTGTACTTTTTCGATGCCTGCAGTGTCCCCCCCCCCAGACACACCCACTTTCAATGGCTTTCAATGGCCCACTTGAAACCGCCACCCCCGCCGCTCCGCCGCTTTTCTCCGTGTGGGAACTCGACCGGTAGGGGGCGAGAGAGTTCAGTGATGGGGATGAGGTGCAACGTCCCCCTGTGTCACCCTGTGTCACGATACAGACAACCATTTCAATGCAGAGAACATGGAGAAAACAATCCAAAAGAGGTGGATTGAGGTGAAGACTACAATCCCAAAGTCCTGAAGGTCCTTTTTCTCATGCTTCTCAGTGGAGGTTTTTGGAGACCGTCTTTGCTGTTGAATCTCCAAGAAGTCACCAGTCTCACCCCACAAAACGATAAAATGTATTGGAGGCCTCAGGCCAGGAGCTGGTTCTGGTAGAGGAGACAAGTGGATGGGGAGATCAAAGCATATCTCCAGGCTGCCATTTAGAACCGACTCCCAAACACAAAGGCGATTTCAGGCCAAAGGAGCCTGAAGGTTTGTGGCTTTTTCTTGCTCCGGATTGAGGTTTTCAATGCCAGTTATCGGATTTGTGCTGCCCTCAGATCTGGGGCATGGACATGACTGTCGTGTTCATCGGAAGTTGGATAACTTACCCATCTTTAGATTCATGTCATAACTGGTATCAACTGGCAACCCTTCTTCGCTTTTGCTGTGATCGCACACCAATTGTGGTGATCGGTTTTCATGAGTTGGAGCAATTCCGGACAAGATCAATTGTCGTGTCTCACACAACATTGTTTTTCGGACAAGCAGGCGGTGCGTTCTCTAGCAGGAATAAAAATCTGAAACTTCTCTTCCTCAAGCTGAAACGAGCCCACCCAAACCTAACAAATTCACACATATTCACACAAATTGTTCAACATGTCAAACTTGTTGCAGAGGCTGAACAACTCCAAACCCGTTCACACGCATGTAATTTGCCCAAGGCACTTGCAGCAGCACTGAAGTAGCACCAAGTGCCATTGGAATATTCTTCCTTGACCTAGCGGCCTATAACATGAATCATCACACACACACAACTGCCCTTGGCGCCTACGAAACAGATACCGCTATGCGGTGCACTTTAAAGGAATTTGTTTCCACTATATACTGAGGACAACCCGTGTTTGGGGACACCCGATCTTACATTTTTAATGACTGACCTCTGAAAAAGATCGACGTGAACTGGTGGCTGCCAGGTGTTGGATGTGCTCCTACGAGTTTTGGAAGACGGTGAAACGCCTGTGGCGTCCGAAACACAACCCCCACAGGAACGACGCGTGTCGTGCGGCCCACGACCCAAACGGGTGTTGGTTCCTGCCGTCAGGCTGGATGGCCCTGACCTTTCTCGGAGCCTTAGCCGGTGGCGTCGGGGTCCAGCTGAACATCGCCTTGGGCAAGGCACGGCACCATCGCCGCACGCGGTCCGAAACGCTCCGCGTCGGCGGACCGCGGTGCGTTCTCGGCGCGGAAGCCCGCTCCCGTCGGCCCGGGGAACCCCACGCCAGTGAGCGACGCGATAGGAGGGGATCAGGGAAGCCTGCAGGATCTGTCGACCTGAGCGAAGGTGAGGGATGACGGCTCACCTGTGACGTGTATGATGCGGGAGTATACTACAGAGGGAGATTTGAAGAGCAATGACCTGTTCCTGGTTACGGAGTGATCGGCCATACATTTGACTTTCGATTCAAACTTAAATGCAGGCCGTTTGTGTGTGTGCACGCTTACATATTGCATTTCCAGCCAAGTTCCGTTTTGGGGTTAGTGCTTGTGGGACCACGCTCCGCACATTTTACTTGATTGTTGTGTTTCTTCTCTTGTGGCACCGCCCTTCCTGCACCACTTGGCGTATAATTAAGTTTGTTGCAACCTTAAGGAAGCTGCAGACTTTCAGGGTTTTCAACTGCAGCTTTGGGCCTTGAGTTTTAAGCCACATCCGACAAGTTTTGAAGGTAAGTTGCTAGTAGCTGGTTGCAGCGGCGGGATTGGCATGCAGATCGACCCCATTTTCGGAGAGCATGTTAGGGGAAGGACAGCTTCAGATTTTACATCCAGTAAACGCGCTTGGAGAATTGTTTTGTGCGTGTTCAAAGGGGTTTTTGCAGGCTCTCAGTTTTAGATATAAGAATTCAGCCCGCCTAGAACGGCTGAAAAGGCACGGTAGACGTTTGCTGCATGAGTAGACGGTTATGTTTTGAGAAAAAGGATCAACTATCGAACCTCGGAACAGGGAATTTTAACGTTTATAATGTGTCAATCAGCCCAGGTAGTTGTAATGATTCCTTTGTCAAGCAGTTTTTGTGCACCCAGCACGCACTGCAGGTACTTCTATGCTTTTGAGAGCCACTCCAGAGTACAGTATATAGTGAGATATAGTGAGTATAATATAGTGTTCATATCCGTGTTCTTAATTTGCTTTCCGGATGTTTCTCTCCTGCGTGCAGCGGAAAGGGAAGCACAGCGGATGCGAAGCATGCCGCGTGGGTTGGCACCATGATGGCCATTGTCGTGCTGGTGGTGTTGGGGGTTCTCATCCTGCGTGAGGGCCCAGAAGTTGTACGAAAAAAACACGGCTGGGTAGTCTTCAAACTCAAAAAACACTTCAAACTCCAGGATGTCTATGCTGGGTAGTCTGACTCGGATGCCGAGTTTGAAGAGAATTGAAGAGAGGAATCGCGTACTTTCAGTCGCTTTCATATGTACAGCCTGGACCAGGTGGGTAAACCTGCTGGATATCGGCCAAAGGCAAGCCTTGGAGATGCAATTTTTAAATGCGTGCTTTGTCCCATTTATGAATGCTGCAGCAACATCTGGATTGATCATTCGAGGATTGTTTCTCCAAGAGGAGTCTATGGCAGACAGATGTGCAGTGGATTCTTTCTGGTTTAATTCTCTCATCATGCACTGTCACGCTGGTGATATAACTTAAAACTACTATCAAGTATTGTAAGTTATCATAAACATGTGCTACGCAGAGCAGTTCAAATTAGACATGCCACACATCCCACACCCTTCAACATCCTGAGACATGTTGGGCAAGAAAACAACAACTTTTGTTTTGATATGGACTCAGAATGTTTGCATTTTGCCTGGTGAACTGATGTGATGGGAAATGCGATGGGATCACTCACGATGTGCTTCGCTCCGCAGCGGTGCATCCCGAGGTGCATCCCTCGCTCTTTGGCGCGGATCTTCTCCAACGATCCGAAGGTCGGTTCCGCGGAGTCCCGGGCACCCGGAGCCCAGCCTCCGTGGTCTGACGCCTATTCTGCTCATCTTTCCGTGGTCTGATGCAGTCGGTATTTGGGTGCCATGACCCAGCAGGCGCCAGCCAAAATGGTCTGACCCACGGCCCTTCACGGCCACTTCTCTTTTTAGGTCAGAGTGTATAGGTGAGAGACATGGATGTCAACATCAACACCCCCGGCACCAGGACTCCGGCGAGTGGCTGCCGATGTGTGTTGACAAGGTAGTTCAAAGGATGGGCATGGGCAAGAACGTCGATGCCATATTGGTGTTGGTCAGTGTGTGTGTGTGTGTGTGCGTGTTCATGCCAACCATTTTTTGTGGGGGGATCGGATGCATTCTTTCATTGTTCAGACGCCCAGTAAAGCCACATGTGAGTGAAGCGACAGAAGGAATGAAGCGAAGGAGCGAAGAAAGGAGCCGATAGGTATGAGAGTGCAATGACGCGACCCGACTCGGCCCGACGTCTCGGCGAGCCAGCCTGTTGAGCCCGCCTCAGCCACCGTGTTTGCAAAGATGTTTCTTTCTGGAAGACATGGGTGTGTGAGTCTTAAACTAGAGAGGCCTCGCGGCCTCCCAATATCTACTCCCCAATTTCCCAAGGGAATACCCACCCAGAAATGGGCGCCAGGCCAGGGGGGATCTGCCAGATGTCACCTCCACACCCAAATCCTAAACCCAAATCCTAAACCCTACAAGGTGCCCCCCAGTAGCGTCCGGACGCTATTCGCGCAGGTCCTGGACCTGTTCGAGTCGTGCCGCTGGCCTTTTGCTGCTTTCGCCGTGCCCAGCCCTGGACCGGTGGCCGATGGCCGGGGAGTCCTATGGAGTCTGAAGCTCAAAGAATTCGGTGTTTGATGGACGCTCGGACCGAAGAACAAGGGGTGTCCTGTCTGAAGATCTGGATCGAACGTGTAGGGTATGTTTGATTGGGAGACCCCTGTTCCGAAGGTGCCAGCGGATGGTTGAAAGTAAAACGATCATTGGAGGGGAGACATGATGTGGGACATGTGGGACATGTGGGACAGGTGCATTGGCAAGGAGATGGACAAGGTGGACGAACACATTGATAGATGTTGTCCAATGATTGTTGATAGAAGGCATTCTCACATCACTGCCAGTCCATGCCTAGGATTGGTTTTAATGAAAGGCAACCTTTCCACGCGCACACAAAAAATGCTCCATGCGAGCATGCCAGGTGGATATAGTGCACACATTCAAGTCCTCAAACAAAGCATTCGTGCAACTGCCAGGGGCCTGGCAAGGTTAGTTAATCCGTTTGAGAATTACCACTGGTTTACCTCGCTGCAGACAAAGATGGTCCCCCAACATGGGTGGTTCAAAGTTTTGGGGGGCTCCATTGCACGGTCTGAATTTGTTGGAACGGTATATCTCAGCACCTCCCGCAGCTTCCCAGAACACGAGCAGATGAAAGCTGCCCAGGTGCTGATGAACCTCTCGGCAACTTGGCACAACGAAAGATCTTAGACCACAGTGGTGCCCGGACACATCCCATCCAAGCACCGGTTCGACCGGCCTGAACACATAGGGAACCCCTGTTGAAACCAGTCTTCAGAGCAAGAAGAAACCAGCTCAGCGCAGTGTCTAGAATTAGAATCAATGGCCGTGATGACAGTGATTCAGGTGGGCAAGATCATGATGGGCAAGTCATGTCAAAAAATCATCTTCCGTCGTCATGACCTCGGTGGTCGTTCGTCATCCAAATCGAGACCACATGTGAAACACTGCCTGGTTGGTCAAAAACATCACCTCGGACTCCGTCTGCGGTCTCGCGAGCTCGGGACAGCTGAGGTGAACATCGAGAAGATTCCCATGGCCAGGGCCCCAAGCATCACAACCGAAGCGAGCGAAGCGGTGGGTTTTGAAGGGTTGGAGGGCAGGGACGGATGGAGGGCCGCACCTGGAGCGTGAGATGGAACAGAGAGTTCTGTGCCGCTAGATGGAAGTGGAGTGATTTGATGAAGGTTTCGACTTGTTGAGGGATGTGTCCAACCAAGAGACCCCTTATATAGGGCCACCCCTGCAAGGCTCTTCTTTACGGACGCATGAATTAGTTACAGTACTGTGCTGTGACATAAGCTGTGACATGGGGCTGAAGTCTCAAAACCCCTGGGCCCGTCACTTGCGGCAAGACGAGTCTTTCGCCGCCTGAGTTTTCAGTGATGAAGCCCCTCAACCTGTCGATAGGGGGCGGAGCATCGAGCGAAGAGGATGAGAGTCCTTCGGTCCCCGTGCTCCAAGATGAGGGTATATCCAGCAGTCACGTTCGACGGGGTGCGATCCATGGAGGAAGTCGGGGTGCCCCTGTCACATCCACTCACTGGATGGGACTAAACGCCACTCCTTTTGTGACTCCTGGATCATAGTATATCATGGGATATCTGACAGGTGTTGCATGGTCTTTCTACACCCCGTGAAAGAATCAAGGACGTGGAAAATGATCCCTAAAAATGACGACTGAGTCCTCCACAAACAAGTGGCTCCACAAAACCTCACAAAACCATGCAATATATTATTTCACTGTGGGTCTATCTTTAAACTTACCCTTTTTGCTTTGACCTACCCATGACATGATCGGCCACCACCTTTAAACGGCGCCTCTCCAAAAAACGCCGGGCCTCTAAGTAGCTCGTCCGAGGCCGCCGGTCGGGTGAACTCCGTCTTCTACGCGGGCTTGGCGGGCTCCTGGCTTGGACAAGTGCCAGGCACATGACCGGAGCCAACTGTTTCGCCCGATGCCAGGCGGCGACAGGTGGAACACCAATTCGTTGGTGTGTGTGTTTTTTTAAAAGGCCAGAAGGTAGGCTTTGTGGTAGGTGGGGAATCTGTTGGCTTGAACTTACATAGAAAGTGATGTTCCATTGTCCAGAGCGTTCTGGCGCCCTATACCATCAGCAGGTGGTGTTTCCAAGATGTCCTGCATCAGTGCAGTCCCATGCAGTCCCATTTCGTCCCATTGATGTCCGACTGCAACTCATCATGTGTCATGTTTTTGGGCCTCTCACCTATTAATGAACTGTCTCTCACCTATTGTTTTGGGCCTCTCAACTCTCATCGTGTCCAACTGCAACATGATGCGAATGATGTTCACCACCCAAACAAATCCTCCTTGCTCGCTGCGCGAACGCTTCTCCAGGTGTGATCCTTTGCATCTCGCTGTGGCGCAAGGACTGGACGTCCTCCAAGGCGGAACCGCCCGCGGCGGAACAGCCACCGTTCCTTTCGGTTCAAGGACCTCTATGGCATTTACACCGGGGTGGCAGCGGGCTATGGCCTTCTGGTTTTGCTCTACTCAGGCCTTTTTTTTCACCTGTACTGGGGAGGTCTTGAGCAAAGCCCTTGCACAGATCTGGGCTTTATGGATTATGATGATGGATTATGTTTTAACATGTTGTAAAGTTGAAGATTGGCAGTGGATGGCAGTGGTCATTTTCTGTAGATTTCTGTAGTAGTTTTTTTGAGGGGGACCTATTATGCCAAAAACAGGAATCGGAGAATTGCATAGCTTTTCTTTAAGATCACGGTTTTTTGGCAGCCTGTTGTGTGCACTTTTTTGCAGCCTCAATACTTCATGGATCTTCACGGAAAGCTCGCCTGGCAAGGCATTGTTCTTTGCTTAGACTGGGACAAGGCCGGACTGGGAATCCGCCTTCGAATCGAAGTGATCTTCGCTTAATCGTGGCATCTTCGAAATGATGCCGTGCCCACACCACGACTGCTTTCGAACAAAGGCGAAGAACATGGCGACTTAGGCAAGATCGAAGCCCGGTTCGCCGCTGTGACCCGACACCACCGTCCGGTCGTCCGGTTCTCCGTCCAGGTCGTGGAGGAAGCTCAACTCCGCTCCGAGACCACTAAGCCGGACCTCACCATGAGCATGCAGCCGACCAACGCGTGGCACTGAGCGATCCAGTCGTGGCAAGAGATGTTGTGTTCTCCACTTGCTGTTGGTTCTGAGACGTCTCAAGACATTGAGTGCTTCAAGATTAAGTTGAGAATGCATGAAATCCGTGGGAAACCTTTTAGAAGTCCTTGCATGTCCTTGCTGTGTCTTTGGTGATTTTTCCATGACCAATAGGACATGCGCCTGAATGCGCTTGGTAAACTCTGAGCTGCTCGCTTCGGAGTGAGGCTGAGAACGACGAAGAGCAATCACCCAATACCAACGCAGCATAAATATAAGACACTTATGAAGTTGTATGAATATAGCTTATACATTCTATATATACGTGTCTCTATCTATTTTTTATAGTTACATTATTATATTATCTATTGCATATGCACATTCTATTGCATTATATGAACGTAGGCGATGATGATGTTCGTCGGCCGAACGGGCCGAAGCTCAGATCCATTGAGTTTGGGTCTTCGTGAGCTTTGCTGCGTATGGGTCGAATCGTTTCGATGTCCAAGAGCAAAAACCCCAAAGGGCTCCTTGAAATAAGGGTTCCGTGGATGGCCCCGAAGACTCGGAAAGACCATGTTCCTCTACGAAGAGGTCGTTGTTCCACTTCCGGGAGAGTATTAGATCTAAGTCTGCCGACCAGTAGAGACCTGCAGGGATATTCTTGGAAGTTGTTTATTTTACGGGCTGGTCAATCCGGCTGCACCCTCGTGGCTCAGACAGCTCCCGAAAATTCGGGCGCAACCGGCTGCGCGGTTGACCACAACCGTCTCGGGGCACGTTTCGCCATGGATGTCGATGTGACCTTTGATGGCTCACCAGGCAGAGTTCGTTTTTCCACCCCGAGGCCGAGCGGGTTCGAGGCCGCGTGTCACGGAAGTGGGCGTTTCGCATTGGTCCACACGGCAAAAACAAAAACGGAATTCCCCTGGGAGTCAAAGACCAAAAAAGAATTCATTGTTTGCAAAGGAGTTTCCTTCGCTTCAGTCGGTCAAAATGTAGTCTTTGGACTTCTCGAGGGAATGCTTTAAAAGCGAACCGGTGGACCCAAAACGTTGGCGCAACCGGCCACCCGCTCCAGGAATGCTCCCGTTTTGCCGATCCTCTCCAGGGACCTGGCAACGCCCAGGGGTGAAGCTGACCTGGACAAGCTCAGCAGAGATGCCACTGCACTTTCAGAGGCACTGCAATATTTGGTTCAAGCAACGGCATTGTCGCTGTTTTGTCAACTCGCCACTTACTTTTCCCCAGACATTGACCCCTGAAACCACCTCAGTGCAGGTAAATATATTCCTACCTTACATGGAGCGTTTGGTTTCTGATTTGTGACTTTGACATGCCTACTACTCCACCTCCTCAGCTTCTCGTCGAAAGGACTTGGATGATTTGCGAAGCAAAATCCGACGCATGGACGCCTGGACGCCTAGCAGAATGACCGAAGACCAGCTTGGTATGGCTGACACATATACAACAACAACAACAACAACAACAACAACAACAACAACAACAACAACAACAACAACAGGTAACAACAATCAACAACAAATGCACCAGCAGCAACAACCACCATGACAATAGCGCACAACAACGACGGCAAATAGCTGTAGTTGCAAATAGCTGTAGTTGGACCACTGCGTGGCTTAGAGGCTTAGAGGTGCCAAAGCAACTGTCTCGGTTCTGAGGTGCCAAAGCTGGCTATTGATGTGCAGCACGTTCAGCCTCTTGGGTGCTTTCCCCAGATGAGGAATCCGCGCAGATGTTCCACTGATGAAGTGATTTGCGGCAATCTTTTTCCAAGGGGCGGATTGATAACCATCCTGATCCCTTCGCACTTCAAACATGGCCGACTTGTTTCTGACGTATCTTGCACATCCTTGCACTACATCCTTGCCCTTTGGACCTAATATCTTCAGAAGACTTAGCTACTTCAACTACTTCCTTCAAGGAACCACCCATTGACTCCATGTGTGCCGGGTCCGCCCCTTGGAAATGTGGGGGTTCCCACGACCTAGGTCGCAGTGGATCCCCAGTGCAAACACTGATTTCAGCGTCCTCGCGAGTTCAGTGCTCAACGACAAGGCAGCGCGCGCCCGGGCAGATTCCGCACCCAAGAGAAGCAGTGTCACGTACCCGTGCGCCGTGCAGGGAAGAAACGGCAAGGGCTTTGTTGTGCATGTTTTTCTCCATTGGCGTGTTACCCGCAGAGCTTGTTCTGCGACCCAAATCATCAGCAACTGATGTCTCTCGTCAGTTGCTTCAGACCAGTCTTACATGGTGCGCGTGGCCAGGTGAACAGCTTCAGACACGACTTGGCCACAGAGACTTGGGCCAGGATTTCAGGCGACGAGGATACCTGCCGCAGGTGCGGTGAACGTCTGAGAGTTCTGGTACAACGGACATATCACGGAAGGGAGAATAAATACACCTGTGTTGTATAGCGTGTTCTGAGGACGAGAGCCGATGCTCGAGATGTTGACTGATGCCAAAGGATGCATGTTGTTCTCAAAAGATATATTGATGTATGTTTTATACATAATTACAGTCATATTTCATCATATTTCTATATACTATATAGATACTAAGCGGTGGCTTCGGACATTGTTATTATCAACCTTTACTTGGGTTGATTGAACTCACTGACTAATATGTTTCAAGTGGGTTGAAACTACCAACCAGTATATAAGTATATAGTTATATTCAAGCACGTTTCGCTAAAGATTGAACTTTTTTGAACCGATATTGATCGCACTCTGAGTTCTTAGAGTTGGCAGATGAGAAGATCCTGTTTCTGCATGTTGGGACCGTGATCAAAACCTAAAGACCATCCCAAAAGGCATAGATAGAGGTACAGATGTGTGTAGTGGCTGTAGTGGGGACAAATCTCTGAGCAAAGGCAATGAGAAAGGGATAGGAGTAGCGCTTCTACCCGCATTGCTAAGTGAAGCCAAGTTGCTTTATAAGTCAGCTTTGCCACTTGCAGCTCTTGAGCAAAGGCTGAAACTGAAACATTTCAGAAGTTGAACGTTTGTCATTGCTTCTGCGGCAGGCTGCTGAAACTGGAGCAAGTGCACATTGATTTGGACCGGCTGAGTTGTTTGAGCAGTGACTTTGCCTTCAAACGCGTCAAATGTGGAGCAGTTTACACGTAGTTCAACTCAGGGTTGATGTTTGTATAGCCCATGCAATCCACCTGTTGTTTTTGGTTCTTGATGGAGAATGCAAGCTTCTTGTTTTGTTGGATTATGGTAATATGAAGATGCAATGTGTATACATACATGCAACACCTGTGTATTTTGCTGGACAGACATGTTGTGCCTTGCTTTTTGCTGTTTCTTGATGTCGATATTCTCTCGCCAGGACCGTCGGCTTCGCGCATGGGCCCCTTGGGCGTTGAATTCGTCAGGAGACCATCGCGGCTGTGGACTCCTCACAGCACCCGGTTTTGCTTCGCCTTGCAGCAGGGCGGCTGTTCTTTTGTTCCCCAAACAGTGTGGTCACACTAGGGGTTCTTGCGGTAAGGGTTAAACACCGGTGTCTAATCGAGGTGTCGCACCGGGGCGTCCGGCTAATTCGCTGCTCTTTACAGTACATTCATGCCTCTCGAAATCCTCGAAGTGCATTCCGACTTCGCAGGCTCGCAGAATCTGTGTGTCCGCGGCAGGTGCTTGTGATCCTCGAAGTGCAAATTTCGTGGCAGGCACAGCACTTTGTGCTCTCAGATGCTCTCTCTCTCGCTCTCGCTCTACACTCTACACTCACACTCACCACTCTCTCTCTCTCTCTCACTAACTCTCACTCACGCTCTCTCGCCCCCTCTCATTCACACTCTCACTCCCTCCCACACTCTCACTCACACTCTCACTCTCACTCCCTCACCGCACTCACACTCACTCTACCCAATGCGTCTAGATCTCTAGACTTTCTGTTGGCACACCTCCAGGCCTATACTGAACTGAAAGCGATGCCACACGCCGGCCTAGGATTCTAACTCCTAAGGGTACATGTACGAACCACAGGAACCTGGAGGACTTCAAGAGGAAAGAAGGCCAAAAGCTCAAGGCGAAAACGGACCGACGAGGTGACGGCGTGACGTGCATGTCTGCGGAACTCACTAGCCCTTTACCAAAGTTCAAAGGTTCGAGGAAAGCAGGTACGTCACGGTGATCAGCCGTGATATCCGCATGTACTGTGGCCGCTTCGTTGGACCATCGCACACAGTACATGCATGGTCCCCCTGCTACATAACGAAAAGACAAAAAAAAACAAAACAATCCGAAAGGATCCCTGTGATTCCAAGGGTTACACACACACGCCTCCCCGAAGGGAGGCATGTGTGACCTCCATCCTGCCCGGAAAGGAGGTGGGCACATGTGCACGCAAAAGGGACAAATGAAAATGAACAGGACGAGACAGACAAAGGTGTGTGTGTGGTTGCCGATGAAAAGGAACCAAGTGAAGAGGGACAACCGATGAGCCAAACCTCATTGTAACGAACCTGGGCCACCTGAACCTTGCTGTAAGTAGAGTACGCGTGCGTGTATGTGTACAAACTAAGGTCCGGACGAGAGTGCGCGCAAGAGAAAGAAAGGATGAGGATGAAGAGACATGAAGACAGAAGGACATGAAAGAAAAGAAGGGAAAAAACGTCTGTGGTGGCGGATGAAACGGGAACCGAGTGAAAGGGGACAAACCGATGACAGTCCAAACCTCATTGAGAAACCTGTTGCAGAAGCCTAGTTTGCTTGTAAATACGCCACGCGCGGGGAAAGAGGGGGGAGGGGAGGAGGAAAAGAGAAGGAGGGAGAGAAGGAAGCAAAGGTGTTCCCAGCTACGGCACAAGCGCCCAAGGACACACCAAAAAGGAAGGGCTCCCAGCTATGACGAAAGCATCCAGGGACGCCCAAGGAAGAGGGTGAAGAGAGGAAAAAGAGAAGGAAAGAAAGAGAGAGGGAGAGAAAGGTAGAGGAGAGAAAGGAAGGTGTTCCCATCTACGAACAATCGTCCAGGGACACACCAAAGAAAGAAAGGGAGATCCTGAGTATTACATTCAGGAAAACCCCAGAAAGCAAAGAGAGAAAGGGGGAGGGAAGGGGGAGAAGGGGGGCTAAGTTCTCCACAGGTTCCAGCAAACCTTAAACTTGCTTTGACCGCTGCGGTCACCTTCTGCCCTGCCGAAATGGCTGGCTGCTTTGACCGCTGCGGTCACGTAAAGGCATGAGCCAACTTGGAATTCCAAAGATGAGACAAACATCCCACTTCTTGAGGCATAAGCCATCTACTGTCCGCTGCGGACATCTGCGTTCCCAGAGCCGGGGGAACATGGACAAACCCCCGTTCAACGGCTCCACGCGAGGCACTCTGCGGGCTCATCCCGGGTTGGCACGAGGCCAAACACACTTATGGATATGCATACTGAACTGAAAGCGATGCCACACGCCGGCTTAGGATTCCAATTCCTAAGGGTACATGTACGAACCACAGGAACCTGGAGGACTTCAAGAGGAAAGAAGGCCAAAAGCTCAAGGCGAAAACGGACCGACGGGGTGACGGCGTGACGTGCATGTCTGCGGAACTCACTAGCCCTTTACCAAAGTTCAAAAGTTCGAGGAAAGCAGGTACGTCACGGTGATCAGCCGTGATATCCGCATGTACTGTGGCCGCTTCGTTGGACCATCGCACACAGTACATGCATGGTCCCCCTGCTACATAACGAAAAGACAAAAACAAAAAACAAAACAATCCGAAAGGATCCCTGTGATTCCAAGGGTTACACACACACTGTTTGGGGTCTCTTGCCAGGATAATGTTTTTTCAGGCACCTTTCATTGTTTCATGCAAGACTCGGACATTGCCTTCCACTGAGGAGTTGGAAAGAGATCAAGTGAAAAAGGCAGGTCCGGACAAGAGGGTGCACCAGGTCATCCCATCCAACTCTATGACGCAGGAGACTCCAGAGGCCCTTAGATTGATGAGGGAAGAGATCGCAGAAGCAAAGAAGGAGAGACGATTGACCAGAAGTTAAACAAGCTAACGCGGACGTTTGGAACTCGAGAATCGTGAGCCCTTTCATGGTTTTGGATGCGTTAAAAGAACCAAAGGGCGAAAACACCTGTGTTGCCCCCTTGCCTGGTCTGCCTTCTTCTCTTTTGTTCACACTGCAGTGGTAAAGCCTGTTCCACAGACGTCCATTGGGAAATCCCTTTGACCGAGTGTTGGTCTGCGGTTTCTGGAACTGCTTTGCATGCTGCCACAGCCTGTCCAGCTGCTGCGTTCCAGCCATGTGAAGCTTAGTCCGCACCTTTGTCCTTTTCGATCAGTGAAACAGCCGGTGAGACACGTGTCTAATCATAAGCCTCTTTGGTCTCAGTTCACTCACAGCAGCAGATGACAATGTGGTGAAGTCGATGACAATGTTTTGAAACCGATGACAATGTTAAGTCATTGACCATGTTATGAAACTGATGACAATGTTGTGAAGTGCTGCCCCACCCCAAATTTAATCACATGGTCAGCCGATGACAACGTGAAGTCCATGACGTTAAGCGTCCAAGTCCCATGGATGTACGTCCCTTAAACAAGGATGTGAACGGAACATGGTTACCGCCTTGTTCAACATGCAATCCCACTCAAGCTGTAAAACGACTGAACTAGTGGCATGAAAATAGGACAAAACATGGGCATTTGCAAGCCGTGAGGACATCGAAGAGAAGATGACTAAGATGACTGAGGATATTGCAGCAGTTTGGGAGATGTTTCGGGGCATGTTTGGGCGTTCTGATTCGGCTGCTGCAGCTCCACCTGAACTGTTGCCGCAGGATGCAGCACTTGCATTGAAGAACGAACTGAAGCAAGAGATTGAGAAGGTGAAGTGGGCTAAACTGGTTGGAGCAAAGCTGAAGAGCAACCGAGGGCATTTCGCTGTAGAGAGTTGAGCTGTTCTACTTAACCTTTTGGTGCGCAAACCTGTTTCAGAAACTACCAGGTGTACGGTGTACCCGGTCCGCAGACCCAAATTGCTTCAGAAACGTTGCCATTTCCCCATGAAACGAGCCCCCTCGGCAAGTCCACGCGAACAAGTTTCGGTGCAGACATTGGTAGCGGGGGAGATAATTACTATGTTTCATGAGATTGTTTGCAGCTGTGCTTCCAAGTATGACTCAGTCGAGTTACTCTACAACTTTGGAGGAATAACAAATTTGCTGCGATCAAGTCATAAGGGGGGATCTCAGGGCCATTGGCAACGTGAGGGGCGGCAATGAAAGTGGTTCTTGTGCGCTCACCAATTTGTTTGAAGTTTGTGCAGATCAGAGTTCCATGGACCATTGAGTTCCATGATGAGAAAATGTGTCCTCGAAAGCTTTTAACCCTCGAGGCTCTATTTCATTGCAGGCCCTCTCGCGTTGCCTGCATGGTCGTATTTAAATATTTATTTGGTGAGAGTCTTGATAAGCAGAGGAAGATGTTTTGTCTTTGCACATACGAAGCCAGCAAACATATCGAAACTCCAATCCTTCACAGCAAGTTGACGAAGAAAAACAGGTGTTGAAACTCCAAAGAGCCTTGAAGCCAAGGCAAGAGTAGCATAGCGTAGTTAATGGAGTTTCGACAAGTCCTGCGCTAGGAAGTCTCTCTCTGTTAGGAGTTTGGGGACGGGTTGTTTTCCGCCTGCGAGGATTTACAAGAGAAAATGGCAACAAAGGCCCGCAGCAACATGTGAAGTGTTTTTTCGACCATTTTGGCTTGACTGTGCCAGCTAGTTTGGATTGGTGTCCTTTAGAATCAGCGTTGGCTATGCGCCAGATTTCCACCATAGTAGCACAGGCACAAGGCATGGAGAACGCTGAAGGGCTGAAACAAGAGATTGACAAGGTCAAGAAGGACAAAGACATTAGTAGACTGGAGCAGAACGGAAGAAGAGCCGATTGCTCATTGTAAAAGGAGTGTAGCTTGGTGTAGAACCCTTCCAAGAAAAGGTGGAGTTGACCACTCGGTGCAAGGAAGCAACCCAGGTTTCGAAAGTCAAAACAAGTGGGCAAGAAAGAGCCCGACAAGCTTAAGCGGGCCAAAGGTAAACAAATATATGTGTCCAATGATGTTTTGGTATGTCTTTCCTTTGTCATGCAAAACTGCGGCTTCTGCAGCAGTTTGCACTCTCACTTTGTTTCACAAGTGCTCCTTTGATTATTGCGCGTTGGGGATCGGTTCTTTGACTGCGAGGATTTAGAAGAGAAAATGGCAAGAAAGGCGTGAAAGATGTGAAGCTTCATTCGACCATGTTGCATTGACTATTCCAGCTTTGTTGCCCAGGATGCTGATAAGTTAAAAAGCGAATTGGAGCAGCAGATTGGGAAAGTCCAAGAGGCGATAAACCGTGCGGGTCGCGGACGTCTTGATGCAGTCATGGTGTTGAATGCATAGCCAAGCATATCTCCTCGCAAGTCTCATCGCATCATCTCAAGTTGTGTTGTTCTGCGTCTCGGCTTTGACCTGAGTGTTTCCACACGGTGAGAAAAAAGACAGACCTTGTTGGCCATACCCTCAGATGTTGGACTTGTTCGCCATGCTTTGCCTATCATCTTCATCCACAGGGTCCGCGACTCGCCCACTCCGATGACTCTGTTCGGATGTTCCATGGCCCAGTGGCCCAAACGGCCGAAACCGAACGGCCAGTCGTGAACGGAGCATCAACCACTCGTGAACGCCAATTTGTGAACAATTGCTAAGCCACATCCAGCAACGTAGGAAAATCGGCAACATTTATCTTCCATGAAGTACAGTTAAAAAATGCATTGAACCATACTTAGTTGGAAGAGTATTTTTGTCAACACGTGGTCAGCAGAACATCGGGGTATCTAATGTTTCAAACGTGCAGCAGCGAGCCACCTGAATTGACAATTGGTTTTGTGGGCAGCTGGTTTTTCATCAGCTTGCCACTAACAAGAGAAGACTCTACAGAGCCATATACTGGAGCCAGTCAAGCAACATCAAGGTTATTTTTTTCGACAGAATCGGTTGTAAGGGTTGCTTGCCAGCCTCCCCCCTGTGGTGGCCCACACGTACAAGCGAGAGGGGTCTCTTATAGAACGCAATAGTTCGCACTTGAAATTGGTGCAATTTATTTCCGTCTTTGTGTTTTGCAGGTTTGCTGGGTGGTCTTTTGTTCCTTGGCCTTCATTTTCCGTGCCCTTCTTTTGTTTTGTCGAGGACTTGAAAGATGACTTCGACCAAGTCGTTTTCTGCGAGGACATCGTTTTGTGTCTGGTTGAAACCTCGTGAAGTGCCTTTTTGGTTGCACCCTTTTGTAGCTTCGAACGCAAGGACAGTCTCTGGAAGTCATTGCAACGCATGCAACGCAAGCGAGACCGCGCCAAAGAATTCATCAAACAAAAGAAGTACGAAGAAGCAAAAAACCTTCAAAAAGAAGTGTGGGACGCGTGCAAGGATTTGAAGCTCAAGGAGGCCGTTATCGTGCTTTCGCGTGCCGCGGCAGTTCATAGGAACATATACATGTCTTATCATTTCTTGTCCACTGCATGTCGTAATGTCGTAACTCTCACAATGCCCACAGATTCACCCAACACCAACATCTCAAACCAAAATGCTCCTCCAAGCATGGAACCACCCCCGGAACGTTTATATGCGACCAACCCTCGTTTTCTCGGGGAAGGGTCGACAGTGTATAATTGACAATGGGTGGAAAGTTGAAACGGCTCGGTTGGCGGACATGTCCAGTCTTTGTGAGTGACTCGACAACACTATCACTGGCCCTATAGCTACCAGAAAGTAGTGGTGACAGTATCAGTGGCTTTGAAACCCTTGCTGACTTGGACAGACGCCTAAACAAGCACTGTCCAATCTAGATATCGCATAATCGAGTGGCATGAGGTAAGGAGGGTATAGACCGAAACATGGCGACCTATGTTTGCACGACAACGATGTTTCTCACTATGTGGAGGACGACCGCATGACAATAGAGGCTCAGCACCAGTACGCGACCACACTTCAGTTGCAGCGGAAGTTTACAGATGCAGAACCGCTTCAACAGGAAGTCTTGAAAGTGGCAGAGGGCAAGTTCAAGGACCAAATTGTTAGCGGAACAATCGTGTTCATTTCAACAAACGACGCTACTGTACCAGCCAAAGTTTTTTGCCAGTGGTTTCAAAAGCTACCTGCAGATCCCAACCAGTTTCCTCGAGGTTTTTAGCTATACCCAGTGAGGTGCCTTAGGGGAAGGTGAGGCCCCATGCAACCCCATGCAACCCCATGCAATGCAGTTGACTCAGACGTGCAGGATGATCCGTTGACCTTGGAGGCTATGCACAACCTGGCCTGCACACTGTGGCATTTGGGCCGACTTCCTGAAGCAAAAATCCTTTACGAGAAGGTCGTGCAGAAGTACAAGCATGCCAAGCAGGAGCTTGTTAAGCATGGCAAAATGCTTTATTTAACGCATGTTGTTGTACGCATGTTGCTGTTGTTGTTGTTGTTGTTGTTGTTGTTGCTTTTTAACATATGTTGCAAGATTGCCTTGACAAGGTTTGAACAGATCGAAAGATTATCCGGTTCAAAAAGATCAGAAGATTATCCGGTTCAAACAGTTCAAGCTCCCAACCACCGATTGATCAAACTTGCATAGGCTGTGGCCATGCCCAAAGTTTCTCATCTTGCGCATGCTGCGCGTTGCTGCCACTGGTAGACAAGAGTTTCCACTCCATCCAGGTGCCCTCAAAAAGTCTACTTCTTCTCCTGCATAGTAAAGCCGTAGGTCCAAACTGCATGTCTTGAACGAAGAACTTGGCCCAAAATCGCGCCCGATGTGTCGCAGGACGATTTGGCCCAGCAGTGTCAGAAAGATCTTGAAGCGATCCGGAATGGCAAAAGTGCGGAAGATGAGGGAGCCGAAGTCAGAGTTGCTCCTCGAGGTTGGAAAAACAAGATGGGGTTCGGTCCACAAACTCAAACTCTATGCAGTTTGCGTCTTTTTGCAAACTTGTTCTATTTTTGATCTGTCAAAACACTGCTTTTGGCAGCCATATAACCACCGAAGGAACCGGGCCTTCACAGGTATGCGCGGCTTCGTAAAAAAACACCTTTCAATCTTTACCTCATCAAAATCTCAAGCCTGGCGCTGGCTTGTTGGATATAGGTTGATGCTCACTTTTGTTTGATAGGGTGTCTTCAATATATTGGGTGACTGACAGCTCACCGATGTAGCAACCGAAGACCTGCCACATCCTGCCTCCAATGCTTGTCTCAACTCACAGCAACCCTTGAAGCAGCCGATTCACTATGCCATTTGCGTCAGACTGTAGCAGAACCCATGGCGAACCCAGTCACTCAACCACTCAACATAGTCCTAGTAGACGAGTTCAATGTGTTTGACCAGCTTGCGTTTCATCCATCTTGTTTTTGCCGCGCGGGACGAGCAAACCGACCAGGTCCTACGTCTGGTTCACAGAAAAAGCATGTGATGCTGTCTGGTCGCTTCAATAATGACAATATTCTAGCCTACATCAAGGATGTCAAGGCTGAGCTTAAGAAGCAGAACATCGATGTCTTCATGGTGGAGAAGGGAACCGGGGAAGAGTATGCCGGAGCAACGATGTGGGGAATGTACAACGCAAAGGCCATGGTGATCTTCGGTACTGATGAATATGGTGCCAAGACAGGAGCGCAATATGAGACGTACTATGAGCTGCAATATGCGCATCAGGAGAAGATATTCCTAATTCCTTTGCAGCTGGGTGAGGAATGGCCTCCCAAGCCTACCGACAAAGATGGAGGAAACTTAGGGGCGATCCAAAATTTTTTTGTTCTTCGTCCCACCATACTTAAATTGGAAGATATCAAGATGGAAAAGGCTGTTCTGATGGCACAGAAGATTGCTGAAGCCGTCCGTCGACATGACAAGGAGGAGGAGGAGGAGGCGACTGATCCAATTGAAATGTGTTGTTTTCATTATATGGGGCCAGGTAATTGGTCGGGGGCAAGGTAGGGGTTGGAAGGTTCACTTTGGTTCGCTTCATGTTGGATCAATGATGAAAGAAGTGAGCTTATTCTGGGCTCCACCGCTACTAGTTTCTAGTCATGGTTTGGAGCCTTTATTGACCACAAGCGATAGTCCCGAGTACCTATTAATAAAGAGAGAGGAACGCTGTGAGGGCCCGTGTTTTTCAGTGTTTTTGTTTGGTTTTTACTATATTTGGGCCTGTTACACAAAGGATATGAAGTCTGTGGTGAAACAGCTGGTCTTGCATCACATGTTCCAGTTTCAAAAACAAAAGAATTGATGCTAAGAGTAGTGAAGCAGCTAAGCTAAACTTTGACAAAAAAAATATTGTTATTGATCTTTCTGGTATCAACTTCAAAGAAATGTGATAACCCATTATTAGGCCATACAAATAATATTGTGCAACCATTATCAAATTCTGTCAGATATGACTTTTGCTTGCTCCTGC